ATCCTGATAATCTGGTGATAAGCAGCTTATCCGGATTAGTTGTCTATATGTTTGACTTATGTGTTTAGAGAATAGCTGATTCTGGAAAGATGACTAATCTGTCTCTGCTCTGCATAAGCTGCAGTTGTTTGGTTTGTGTGTTTTGTAAACAACTTATTTGCAGATTTTTATTGTTAAATAGAGAAATTAGAATTAAAATCTCCATATACCATATGTCATTATTTGTGCATTCAGGAGTCAACCCAAAATCAAATCATATAAAAACCTCTTGTATAGCTTAGTAAATGGGTTTTAAGAATATGAAGTTTCTAGCAGAAACATAAATTTCCTCTTAAACTAAAGATCGTTCATATACAAATCTACGATCATATGAATTTTATGGGGTGGAAGAAAAAATGAAATAAGAAAGATTAATCATAAAAAACTAAAAGTGCACGAAATTGAATAGCAGAAACCATCAGCTTTCCTTTTTTAAGTTTAATGTGCTTGTATTAAAAAGCTTTGAACGAACAAAAAGAGAGCTCTGCAAGAAACAACCCCTCATCTATCATCAGTAAAATACAAAATAATAACTGCTTGCAGAACAAGCTTACCCGAAGGTTGTAATCTGGGTTAGAAAGCATGGGTACTGCTTCATGGGAACGAGAGCAAGCTTATATTGAACTCGATTTTCCACAGCAAGAAACACCGCAACAGCTGCGGCGACAGCCATACCAGCATCAGCGATGCCGGAATTTAGATGTGTCTCCTTCATCGAAGCAAAAACAAGTAGACACGAGCGAGGCCTCGTCAATTCATCTTCATTTGTTGTAGAAGGATGAGAAAGATGGGAGTTTCGGTGGTCTCTGTAACGAGCGATCCCTTCGTTGTGGTTTTCTTCATCGCAGGAGAGACGGTTTTCTTCATCGTACGAGAGAAGGGATCGCGAGAGATCCGTGCGAGAGGAGGCAAAGGAGAAGGCAGGGGGTCGAGCGATCCGTGCGAAAGGAGATGAGGGAGAAGTTGTCTTTCACTTGAATGAAACTCGAATCGCAGGGTCCTACATGAAATCCATGTCTAATGTAAAACCGAGAACGCCTTATTTAAAAACGCCTCCTAAACGTTTTTTTTCAAACACCAGGTGGCGTTTTCAAAACGCCACAGCTGTGAATAAGCTCTCCCAAACGCACCCTAACTATTCGAGCACCGCCCTCACTACAGACAGCTGGCTAGAGGGGGATTCGAATATGACCTGAGGGGATTTACGACCTTCAATGAGGATACTCTACCAAAAGGTCACGACTGGCGGCATATATATATATATAGTTTGTATTATCATAATTTTAACTACAAATGTATTTATTGGTTATGTGTGGTCAAAATAAATTTAGAGAATACTATAATAATTTTATATTTTATCTAAAAATTTACTTCGAATTTTGGGATAATTCAAAATTTTCTAAAATTTACAATGCAAACTATAATATTCAAAATTTTTATATTTTATTTTCATTAATATGTTTTTTTTCCCAAATTGTGTTGAGATATAAAAGGTGAAGTTCTTAATTGAAATTTTAAGTTAGGATTGTTATTGGTTTAGCAAGTTTTCCGTGACCAAATTAATTTTGGGCTCTCCTATTTTTTGTTGTTTTTCTTAAGATTGGAGTTGGATCATGATATATTTACCTAATTTTTTTTCTTAAATAAACTAAACTTCCCCTAATTCTATATTTTAAAAAAAAACTTACATTTTTTTTATTTGGTATCTATTTATCCTCAAAAGCCCGCCCAGTATAATTTGATATTTATAAATATTGTGTGCTAACAAATTAGTGACAGCAGAGTGACATATTAATATTTTAATTTTGTTTAGATATTCAACATATATATAAATAAAATAAGAGTTTTATAAGATTCAATAGATTTTTTGCATGAAAAAACTATAAAAGAATAGATTGCTAGGGTTGGCATGATTGAAATGATTTCCCAAATATATCTCATAAACTACAAATGTTGTCTTTCCTAATAATTGACAAAGGTGCTGATACATTCTAGTCGACCTGAAATATATATAATATATTACAACATAAAAATTTAAATAGTATAGAAGCTAGAGTTGCTTCAAGGGAACCATTTGCAACATGTTAGTCATATTTTTTTAAGGAAAAGAACCAAGAGGCCCAATAGTTCAGTATAATATTAGTGGGAATGACATAGTTTTGCTCTATCAACAATCATGGCATCAACACTATTAGTGATATCAGGTTATAAGTCTTATAGTTGTTAGCATTTGTATTAACGTCGTGCATTAACCTAATAAACAATAACATGTAAAAATTGGGCATCTGACATATAGTTTAACACTCATATCGTCCATCACCTTATAAAATGTCATCTGACATGTAAAATGTCAACACAAAATTATCTCATTGTCTTTGCACAACATTGAATGCAACACCCATATCTGACAACTTTAGCAGTTGTCATTTACACATTGATTAAAAAAAATTAAAAAAATGCTAAACAATATCCTATCCCTCTTTTTGTAATTATATGCAACAAATTTTTCCTCTCACTCACATTGTTGCCTCCCTTTCATTCATCTCCTTTGATTATTATGTACGAAACTCTTTTGGCTTTTACCAAAAACTTCTCCTCGAGCATCTCTACCAATTTGTATTTTTTTTTTCCTTAAAGCCCTATTTATAGGCTATCTCTCTGCCCCTATCTTTCAGGCACACCTGAGAGCTTCCATCTCCCCTTCTCTCACATGACCCCATTGTCGGTCACCAATTGGAAATTTGTCGATTGCTTCGAAAATAACACCTAAGAGCTTCCATCTCCCCTTCTCTCACATGACCCCATTGTCGGTCACCAATTAGAATTTTGTCGATTGCTTCGAAAATAATTTAATTTAATATATATATATGATTTTGGTTTTGAAAAATAACATTATAATCTTGAAAGATGAGACTAAATAAGTTTCATATATTTGATAGTTTAAGTAATCGAATATGACACCACAAGTAATACAACATCTCAAGAGATAAACATACTACTTGGCGGTGGGCTCGATTATATAAACTAAAGGATTTATGACATCTATTTAGTCTGCAGACATTTTTTGTGTGACTGACAAATTTTCTATCTAATATAAAAATTAGATATAATTTATATTACCTAGGTTACTAATTTTCTATAAGG